AAGTGACACAATACGTGATCAATAGGCTCTCTTATAGTATACACAGAACCAATATAACTAACGCTTTCTTATGTACGCATATCAAACTATAAGCACCGAAATTATTCAAGAATGCATTTCCCAAAGTGTGGGGCTTAGGAAAGAGAAAGTACTGTCGCTGCATAAAGTGCGCAGCTTGTGGCGTGCGTGATTGGGTGTGTGTGTTTTTGTAGAAGTATGTGTGCATCTATAAAAGAAAGTTTCACTGAATATTACTACAACTCGGTTCGGGGTAAGAGAGTCTCTTAGTCGGGTATTCTGGATAAGATTAGACAAGTAAATTGCAGATATTTAGAATAAAGCATATAACACAATAACGTCAAAGAGCAGCAACATAAGCTTTATGTCCTACAGATTGTAAAAAAAAATATAAAAAAAATCTATCTGCGGCGGATTAAATACACTTGTATATTCATATATATCTATATACACTTGTATCTTATAGAGCTAAATGCTTACAAGTATGGAGCATCGTGAAACTAATAAGATGGTGGATATATCTTGATAAGCAAAAAAGTGTTTCATAAAAAACTTAATTTTCGACCGATTTTTCCCATGATAGATATAGGGAAAACTGTTCCGAAGTGTGTATACATAGTGAAAGTAATAATTGCCAAATATGGTCAAGATATCTGGACCGACAAACATTTTTCCTAGAACTTTAGTTTGGACCGATTGTTTCTATCCCAGCTATTGATGGTCCGTTCCTGCTGATTACGACATATGTACTGCCTAGAAAAAGGGCTATCATGACGATACCTTTAAAACTGAGAGGTTGGTTTGCATACGATATCCATTCAGATATTAATACAGATCAAGAATATGCGGTCGATATGACTCATTCAATGTGTTTTGCATTTTATGAAGTGATGTGGCCGAAATTATAATAGCCTTTGCTAAATGTGTTTTTATTATTGCATTGGGTTCAGAAACCATTTAAAATTGAACCTGAACCTTCTTCTACCAAAAACACAAGCCCACATCGGAGCAAGCTATCGATGAAACAAACCTATCCTGCAGATGCTTATCATTGACATATTTTCCCATTTTGAAAAATGGCAACTACAAGAAATTATCATCTCAGTCGGTGAAAATACAACAGAGACTGAATTATATTCTGAGAATTTTTTTTTCACTGGTTCAGAATTCATTTATTATTGAAAGAGTTAATCCACATCATCTCTTCGTTCTTCCCAAATAGCAGGGTTAGGCGCGTATTCCCAGAAGATATTTCAACGCATTCATTGGACTAAAGCTTAAAAGGATCGTCTCCTCTTTGGTGTAATAAATGTATAATAGATAATTTTACATTAATGTCCATGTCAACATCATAGGCTGGATTCCATATGAATGATCGGTCTAAAATTGAGCATTTTGAGCATTATGAAAAGGTTAGGTCTGCCAGGGTTAAAGTCTTCGGCGTGCCAAAGATAGCCGTCTTTTTCGATTTTAAGTATATTTATAAATCATTTCATTATCGTAGTTTGGAAAACATATTTATCTATGCTGAAGAAATGTATACGTACGTATGTGTAGCTGGATCTCACGGCATTACCAGTTCTTATTTCTTTAGTTCAAATTTCAGATAAACATTTTTCAACCATTTCCTTCAAGTGGAACTCCCCCTCCAAAGTAATTTTTAAAATATGTATAGTTAAATGAATTTGCAGTCCATCAAAACATGGAACCTAAAGTTGGAATCAACGTTATCCGCACATTTTTGTCATTTACTCCTTGATCCGTATATTTTATCCAAAAGAAGAAACACCTCTCTATTTAAGTACCAAACTTTGAAAATGTATTTGATTCCGGTCGGAAGTTAAGCAAAAAAGTTGTATGCAATCGATTTTTGCGATGTTTCCTTACCTGTGGGTTGAATTTCCCAAAAACCCCGGTCTTAGCGCGACCTACATCACATAAGGTAACTACAGTCATAGCCGTCATTCCGTCAGCCATTCAGTCAGACAGTCATTCAGGACAAACACTTGTATAATGATGTACATGCATATGTATGTACATTCTACAATCAAAAGCTAGAAAAATGCCCGCCGTCCCGGTGCGACGTGTTGTGCCGCTTGCAAAAACGAGAAAATGCATGTGTGGCACATGTAACATATGTACACACATGCACATGTATTTGTATGGCATAAACCGGTTCTGTTGCATATATTTTGCTTACATGCAGTTTTGCTCTAACTAATTAATGCATGCACATGTACGTATATAAGTATTAGTTCAGCATACATTTATATATATGTGAGCACACCACCTGTACTTCAAAGAAATTAATAAATATATATCAATTGTTATTCTCTTGTAGAAGGCATCATAATTTCAGCATAAAATCTGTATCGCATTTAAAGCAACACCTTCGACCTCATAAAGTATTTACATACATATATTCTTGATCAGCACCAATAGCCGAGTCGATCTAGCCATGTCCGTCTGTCTGTCCGTCCGTCCGTCCGTATGTCAGAACTTATAAGAGCTAGAGACTTTAGACGTAGATGAGTTTGTTTCCGATAATCGATAACTTACTCCGTTTCCAAGCAATCGATAAAAATCGATATCGATATCTTGTTTTTTGGGGAGATGCTTCTGCCTGTTACATACATTTGGATTTTGCACAAATACAATATACCCTTACACCCCTTTTTTAATGGGTTCAGGGTATAAATATATGAAGTGGGCAATTATTTTTCACTTTATGAAACTTCCGCTGTTATCAGATTTTTTCATGTACTTGTGTTTGCATACAAAAAAGGCCAATTGCGAGAACGCTAAGCATAGAATCGTCAAATTGATAGAAAAAATGTCCTGCAAGAGTCAGATGGTTGAGACACAGCAGCCCATAACTGAATGCGGTGAACCCATGTAATAAATCGTAGGTGTTCAGTTTTTGAGGCAGAATTGTATGCTGAATAATAGTATAAAGTGTAAATGTGTGTGAAATATTTGATAGGGCTTAAGCTCATATCATATTTTCATATCATATCATATGATTATGAAAACTCTTGGAATGTTTGTTGATCACTTGATAATTAAATAATTAATCTTACGCATTTTTAAGCACATTTACAAGCCATGATCAAGTACCTATTCTGAATACTGCAAGACCGACTTCTGGCATGTTTTAATACGGTAGAAAATGTCTTCTGTTGTAAAATTGATTCTAAAAAACCCTTATGCTGCGGCTGTACTTCTCCTTCACTTAGCCCCTTATTAGGGGAAATGCAATCTTGAATAATTTCGTAACATCCAGCTCTTATAATTTTCGAACTATCATGTCTGAAAAAATTATAGTAAAAATTGATGGCTATAGATGCTTTTTAAATGGAAAGTGATATCGTAGAATATACTAAAGTATATGTATAACACAAATTGAAAGTCCTTAGCTATTATTACGGACACCCGAACACGGTTAGCTCGTCTTTCTGATACAGAGTATATGTAACTTATGTGGCCCTTCCTTCTGTGCATTGACATACATTTGCACAACAATATTATACTCGTTTTACCCATTTTCAATATGTTCAGGGTATTCCTCGTGAGGCTGATTTTTCGCGATTGATGAGACACGTTTTCATTCAATATTATTTTTCAAAAGTTTGAATAGTCGCTTGAAGTTGATGGAACTTTCTGAAAATCCCAGTTGCCACCCAGAGGCGATTGATTTTCCGGAAACCGAATTGGATGGTAAGCAAGAAAACGCTTCCTAGCTACGGTTTGTGATGTGCGTTGATCACCAGTCAATGTCAGTCTCTCTCTATGCACTATGCACTCTCTCTCTCTCTCTCTCTCTCTCTCTCTCTCTCTCTCTCTCTCTCTCTCTCTCTCTCTCTCTCTCTCTCTCTCTCTCTCTCTCTCTCTCTCTCTCTCTCTCTCTCTCTCTCTCTCTCTCTCTCTCTCTCTCTTAAACCCTTTACCGAATGAAAGCGGGTAAAAAGAGTGTAATAGTTTGATGTAACTGTTTGTTACAAGCAGAAGGAAGTATATTTATCCCCATTAAACATTCTTGATTAGCTGGCTTGACCTAGCAAGTTTCTCTGTATAACGCTTTTAATCTCATCAGCAATCCAAAACTCGAGACTTGAATTACGTATGTATTCTCGTATATAATACGAAGACATACTTATATTCTATCTGGTGTTTCCCTCATTTCCATTATATCGTATTTGAGAATTGATTTAAGCAAAAAATTAAACCTTTAAGAACTTTATATACCTAAATTGGTATGTGGGATATCGCTTAATAGTATACACAATACATACAATAGTATACACTAAAGAATATTCCACCTTTTAGATAGCTACCAAATTGAAAAAGAAGAACCCATTTAAAAAGGTACAGCCTTCGGCGCTTCGGTTTATGTATACAAAGGGTGCCAAATTGATGTCCTGAAAGTTTCATAAAGATTGAGCTATGAATGACAAAGTTATTCAAGTTCCATGGTTTGCATGTTGTGTGTTCTTGTGTAACTAATTCGAACGTTCATTACAGCGGATCGGCGCTGTGTACAGGGTGTCTATTAGTAGGGTACTCTCAACAAGAGCTCTCTTACTTGCTCTTACTCTATCGTACATAAAGAAAATGCAATTTAGCCTTGCCACGTCAACTTAGTCGCTCACCGAACACTGAAAACTATCCGCACCTACATTCAGCGCTTCTGGCCTTAGGCTCAAACTCGGAGCGGCGAGCATGTGAGTTGGTTGCGCTCTTGCTGTCGCTCTTGCCAAGTGCTGGCAGGTAAGTAAGCGAATTCCGTTTTGGTTTCAGCGCTTGCTTTTGTTTTTGTTTAGGCCAAGCAGCGAGCGTACAGATGGAAATGGCTTGTTTAAAGCGCTCGATCGAAGTGTGTTCGAGAGAAGTATTTTTAGTTTGTTTTCACCTTTCGGTGCGTACAGTTGCCAGCGTCTCGATTGGAGTGCATTTTTTTCTGTTGTTGTTTTATGATTTTTTTAAATTGTTTCTTTTTTAATATATACTGTTGTTTTCTGGCTCAGTAGACACTTACATATGCATGCATATGCACAAACAGATACACAGGTACATATATTCAGTTATTTTATGTGGATTAACAGATATATTTATGTATTATATATCTACTTTCGTTTGTTGTGAGCTGGTATGCCTCTTATGGTTCCACTTTTCTACACACATATCTTTTTATGTATTTGTGTGTTGTGCTTCTCTTAATACATACATGTGTTTACATTCATTTAAAAAAGTTTGTAATGCGGAAGAAATTTTAAATAGATCGAAGCAACGTTTTACAATTAGCCTACTTTGAACAACGGCATATTCAACGGCCCATAACGATTCCCTTCATTTTAAACTCAACTATTGTTAATGTGTGGGCTGTTGCAGTCTTGTGAATTACATACATACTTGCTAAAGCTGAGATACACGATTTAAACTCACCTTAAGTACGTGTGTTTGTGCAACTGTGACATCAAGCTTTTACAAATTGTATTCCCGATCGCATGTGGGTAAAAGGGGTATATTGATTTTGTGCAAATGCCTGTGACAGACAGATAGAAACATCTCCGACCATAAAAAGTATATTTTTTAATGGCGATGAGTTGAATCGATCTAACCATGTTAGTCTTGGAAACTAAAAGAGCTTGACATTTTTTATCTCGTCTCAGGCAAAACGAAATTTTCGAGATCTCTTTTCATTTTCATAATATTATCGATAAATATGGATTTTAATACAAGGGCTTAAGCAAAACTTAGAAACTATAAGATCTAAATACAAATTTGGTATATAGGGTACTGTTTACTATATATATATATGTAGATTGCAAATATTGCTCGTCTTGGATACCTCTTCCCGCCTGCCAAATGACTTTTTTTTTTAAGAATGCATTTCCTATGGTGTGAGACTGAGGCAAGAACAAGCACAGCTGCTGCAGAAAGTGAGCATCATTGTGTTGTGAATGTGTGGGAATGAGTGCAGGAAACTGGAATGTTTGTTGCATCAGCTTGGCGCTGTCTTATCTTTAGGCTATCTTAAAATCGAGCACTCCCGACTAGAAAAGACTAATTGGCGACACGCTTACATATGCACATATGTGTGTATATGGGAGAAAAACTCTAATACTTTATGAAAATACCAGAAAATGAGTAGAAAAATTGTACTGGCGTTTTCACCTTGCAGTTAATACCATTTTTCCAGCTATCTTTTTAGTAAGACATACTGAATATACGCTATGCGCCAAGAGGCGACATTATTATTAGTAAAACGTCAGCTGAAGGAAGAAGGAAGGCGACAATGCAACCACAAATCGTCCGGCCAATAAGCACCTATGACAACTTAACTGCCACAGTCAACACATCGGAGCCGAAGATAAAACAACAGCAGCCACTGCTGGAGGCAACACGCAGCAACGATCATTCGAAGAGTCCCACGCTGCAGTCATATTACGATCAGGCTAGCACTAGCTTACATTGTGATTTGGCCGTGAACGTAAACAAGAAATCTCGGAGCCGAAAATATCAGGAAACGCCTGAGGCTGCAGCAGCCATTGAAACAGCATCAACAACGCAGGATCGGCTTGACCCGGAAATGCCAGAACACGTCTCGGAGCTGAATGAAACCAGCCACAGCATCGCAGCTGTTAAAGCGGCGCTGAGTGTTGCAAAATCCAAATTTTTTGGAATCCACAATTGTGAGACATTGGACGTTACCGCGCCGCCTTTAGATGAAAATGAATCACATGCGTCCATGCTAGTAATCAAGCCGGAGCCCAAATACCAAAACGTGCCACAGTCCACCCGTATTCCCGTTTTACCGGAACCAACCAGCTTAAAGCCGATGAAAGAGCCCACAAATGTATCGCATCGTTATGGCGCCACATATGAGCAAATTCCATTGAGCGATCTAGATATGCTACAGCCAACGCAGGTTCGTATTAACTATACCTGGCACCTGATGCGATGTGTTTAGGAACAACGAGATTATGCTTAATAATTTTTCCAATGTATAGGCGGTCTATATGAGTACAACGGTGCCACAGAATATGAAGGGGATGAAAATCGCTGGACGACACACACCTACTCGAAATAGTCTAAGACACAGTCGGATGATTGTTGTAAATAATAAGAACCATGACAGTAAGTCTAGCAAAATAAAAAAAAATAATGCTATCCATTTATATTATGCATGTTACCACCCATAGGTATCCAAGATACGTATTCTACGCACATTCGGAATTCAAATCTTTCACGTCAACTGCTGATTTTGCAACTGGCAATTGGCCTGCTGATCGTTGGTCTCGCAATCTCAATATTTTTTTTGACACCGAGTGCCTCTATACTGATAAATCCGTACCTAAGTGGCTTATCAGTAAGTTGCATCCCATATTTAATTGTCCATTTTGATTATAAGAATGTTACCCGTTAATTGCACACATATGTGTTACTTACTGAGTAGTAAATCAAGTAATATTTTAGCTTTTACTTGCCAGTATTGCCGGTCTAATACTGCTTGGTCGGGATCGCGGAGCTGAATACAAAAGAGCACATAACAACTGCTACAAGGTGTTGCTAGCTGAATCGTACGTGTTTTCTGCTGTGGCACTAATTTTCTGCTGCTTGGCTCTAGTCTGTGCCGCTATTGAGTTTGCCGAGCTGCAGAATACCTCAATGCTAACTGATGGCTCCTGTGGTCCAGCAACAAGCTCACTCTTGAATTATCGCAACTGCACCTGCCTGACGGAAGACCAACAGGCTACGACCCCAGAAGCAATAGCCGAAGATGACACAGGGGATGTGTGAGTATAGATGCCAGATTAAATATTGAGCATGCGATTGGCAATTACAATAATTTGTTTTTAATTAAATTATATTATTACAGCGGTAACAGTTACACAAACAGTCAAACTTGTGAGGCACTTCGTGGGAAATGGAAATATTTGCTTGGATTCTCTATGTCTCTTAATGCAGTGGGCATATTTGCAACATTTTTATATATTACAATATTTATTTGTTGTCACCATAACAGTCGAAAACACTTCAATATATCTGTCTGATAAACTTTGTACCTACATGCACATGCATTGACAAGTACATATGTATGTGTATGTACAATTATTATTTTTAATACAAATACAATTGTCACTAAACTAATACATTTAAATTTGGCTCAGATCTAATGTGATGAACATGTTGCGCAATCCGAGGTCTTTTAGCCAATACATTGTTTTGTTTGTAATGCATTTGTGGTTGGCATTCTAAAAAGTAGTGTTCATGAAATGTAATTGATACACGTAACGATAATGAAAATTACATTTCATTATCATTGAAAAAATTAACGATAATGAAAATAACATTCAATTATCACTGAAAACATATTCTCATCAACATTGATAAATGGTTATTTTTATCTCTATATGTATAAAACTGTTTAGCTAAGCCTAAAGTTTGAGTAACGCACCTATTTCAGCGGTCCTTCAATTTGTATGCCTTTCTTTTTATGGTATGGTTGCTAACATTGTTTCTTGTCATGGCGAGCAAACTGTAAAATGTAAGGACAGAAAACAAAGCAAGAAGTTAATATATGGATATAATCCACATTTTGTAAGAATTTCGCTTTGATCGCAGCAATCTCTGTAGATTAACCATTCAGGTATGCGAATCTTGTTGATGCTATGGTAGCCTTGGGGTTAGAAGATGTTCTTCAATGAGATGTTCAAAGGTCTTTAGCAAAAAGGATGACAAACTGATCGTTCTGAAGCCCTTGAAGGAGGAGGGTGAGGCTTTGGGTATAGAGATAACCCTTGAATCCAGACATCTGTTATCTTTCTGTACTGTTTGTAGCCAAATAGTGGCGGTAGTTATGTATCAGGCCTCGAGTTTTACGACCCACTACTGATATAGGTGCTACCCGCAAAACGTTTATTTTCAATCTGTTATTAATTGAGATTCTTATTTCCAAGTATGTGCCTAATAGTAGTAGCTTAACAGTTACTTGCCCGTACAGTTGTGTCAGCGCCACCGCACTGTCTGAGCACAACCACTAATGAGACCAATTAAAGGTGTCTCGCAGTCATCAACCAATATGCAATTGATGTCAGCAGGTAGAGGTACCTGGTTGTGTTTTTAAATTTAGGCGCTAAAAGCATATCGGTGACTCCGACTGACTGGAGAAGCGGATTCGGAAAGCAGCGGATGCTTTATAACTATGGTTATCTGCATTAGTCTTACACACATTTGAAGATGTAATTTCCAGGCTCTATGACTGCGTCAGCGTCATCTAAGTCTAGTCCAAAATCAGCTAAGCAGAAGAAAACATTGATATACCTCGTGATAGTGGACGCGTCTGACACATGTTGAGTCAATCTGGATCTATCGGGTTCCTCTTGCTGCGAAGTGAGCTTGACGGCTGTGTCGCTTCGGCCAGAGCATCCGACTTGCAGTTCTTAATGACTGCCAAGTTAGAGCCAAAATTAAGCTCGCCATTAGTGGTTCGAGTGAATCCTTATTCATAATTATCACTGCCGGATTTGCAGGGTTCCTCGTATCCTCCGCCCTCAACAACAGTTATGGATAAGTTGGTTCGGGCTGTACCACTACATCATAATGAGAAACGCTCCGGCCGAGTCCCCTAATACGAGTTTAGGTCCTTGCAGAGAGAGTGGTTGTGCCAAGCTCCGCCTCCAACAGTTCGAAGCAACGGATAACCAAGGCCATTTTCGCACAATTTCATTTCTGTTTAGGGATACTTTTGTTCTGCTCATTTGTATACCCTTAACTCATTGAAAATGAATCAATAGTACAATGGTTTTGTGGAAATGTATGTAACAGACAGAAGGTAGGATATTATATATTCTAACCCAACATCAATATTCAAGCCGATCTAACCATGAATGTCTGTCTGTCCGTCCGTTCGTGTGAGGAGGGAAGAGGCCTGTTAAGCCTGGACTCAAGCTCGCAAAAGCCCGCATAAATCCGATTTTGAGGCCGGACCTCATTGTGACTGTTTTGTGGCCCAGGGGCAGGAAAAAAGGCACGGAAAAATGTTTTCTTTTCACCATTCGTATTCTTAAATTGTAGTTCGTTTTCGGGTCAAGTTAAAAATATAACACGCGTCCTTCTCTATTGCTGAGGTTTATTACCGAATGAGTTGTTAAAAAACTAAAATCGCATCGGAACGAGACGGATATACGGATATATACATACATACATTTATGAGAAAATGAATAGACACATGTGTGTTAAAGCCAATCTAATTGTATTAAAATTTTTCAATTTGTTGAGGATGTATGTATTTTTTTTTTTTTATTTGGAAGCTTTTATTTAAATACAGTTTATATGCCTTTACAATCTTGCATTAAATGTAACTGTTCAGGAAATTTCGTATTATTTGCGGTGGTTTTGATGTTCCTTTTGGGTTATCTGTTTCTATTCACTTACAGAGGGTAATATAATTTTATCACGAAGTGTGTAACGCATACAATGAAACTTCACTGAACCCATAACATATGTATACATATTCCTGATCAGCATCAACAGCTAGCCACGACCATTTATCAGATTCTATGGAGATTTCTCAGCTTAAAAGCTATCGTTATGAAAGTTTATATAGGTTCGACTTTCTTTGCATACTGTACATAGATCGTAAACTGCTGAAGCAGACCACTCTATCATATAGCCATGGAAATAATCGGTGAAAATTAAGTTCTTGTGTGATCATTGTTATTTTTTTTATAGATATTTTGACCGTACTTAGAATTTAAGAGCTTCACTTAAGCAATCTTGTCAACTTCGGTCAACTCTTTCATTTGTCAAAGTTGTTTAATTCACACTTGGCATTAACAAGCTTTACTATGCTCCTTATACTACATCTTATGAACATCGGACAGTTATGAAAAAAATTGTTGTTTTTTTTTTTGAGATATTTTAAAGAAACTTGGCATTTATAAACTATTTATACAGGATGCTCTCTCGAATAACAAACTTTTGTATAAAAAATTGTTTAATTGTTCACCATATCTTAATAAAACTCAGAAATGATCAGTTTCACTATTCTGATATATTTGTTATACCTCAAATATATCTACAATACGTCAGGCTACTATATCATATAATTTCAACAGGAACGATCGGGCAGTAATAAACTTTCTAACCCAAAGATAAGGTATTGGTATTGTATCATCGGCGTTCCGAACTAGCCGATATTTCCTGTTTTTTTTAGTCATTATACAAATAAAATGTATACATTATTTTTTGGATTATGTTTCACACTTAACGGTAATACATTTTATTAAAAGAAAATATTTATCAATAATATTAATTGTAACTGTAAAATCTACAGAAAATAGTAATTTTTATTTTATTTATATTATGGGCTTATGTATATTTAGATGTGTGTATTCTCTTTATTTGTTGTGATTGTACATATATATGTATATATTCTATATGCACAAGTTACATAAATCGCTCAGCGAATGCAAAGAAAACTGTGGACAACTTAACGCGATAAGCTTAAAAACTTCAGCCATAGAAGAGAAGCCGAATAACTTGCAGGGTAGACAGTCTCAGTCAGGCATGGCTATCTCTTACAGCTTTTCACAGTCACCTTTTATTTTACAAGGCTTCCCGTTTAGGTGCTGACCAATTGATAGTACCATTTCCGCTTCTGCCACCATCAAGCAATGCCTCAGATTTTGAGCTCTGTAGGCGCTTTTCGCAGTAGAGACTGCCCACAGGTTTTGCTATGGAGGCTGCCAAGCTCTTGGTCACATTGGAGTAAAGTACCGCGGCACCATCAGTCAACACAGGTGACACAGGCGCATCCGCGCTTATTTGCCGCATTAGCAATGAAACCGGGTTCGGTCCTTGATCCGCCTTTATTGCTGTCGTTCGATTTCGATTCGTGATAGGAAATTTATTCTTCGTACAACTCAGATCTAGCTCCAGCGTATAAAAACGTCCACGCGTGTACTGACGATTTTCGTTTTCAAGATTGCTGCATGCCGTGCTGGATATGGGTGCTGGCACAGTTGACGATGTTGTCGACGACGGCGGTGGTGGCTGTTGACTAATAGTGCCAATGCTGCTGCGATTGCTGTGGGCTGCAAGAACGGCAGTATTTGCGGTCGTTACACTACTGGCCTGGGTGCCGGCACCACTTCCATCACAGACATCTTCGCCAATATCTTCGTCACTGTACATAGCATCCTCTGTTGAGTCGGTAATCTGCAGTTCATTGTGTGTGGTCGCCGGCACCGTTCTAGGTTGTGACGCTGAGTAACCTTGCACTAGAGTCTTATTGGACCCTAGACGCGGAGATTGATCCATTAGTAGATTTTCCCAGCTGGTCTCATAAACGCTGGCAAGTTGGGCCGTTTGCTTAGGCTTCAGCTGTGCTTTGTGAGATAGCAACGTTGAATTTGATGGCGGTGGCGCTGCTGCTGTTGTTGTCGTTGTTAATGTTGATGTTGAAGCTGTTGATGTTGTTGAGGTTGTTAACAATAATGTTGAGGCAACGGAAGTATGTGATGATTTCTGTATATCGTTGGCGGGCTGCTTACGAGCGCTGATAATAAGCTGCGGCTCCACATAGAACGTATCGAAGTTAAGGTCTAGAAAAAGTTCCTGCAGAAAGCGGCGCGCACTCATGCGATAGCTACTGCGCCCCAACGTCTTGCAAGATTCCGAGTATAGGCAAATGTCTTGAAAAGCATGGGGATGCTTCTGTTTCAGTTCTAGCAATGCCATTTTCGACTGTTTTGCACTAACCGGATTAGCTAAACGCTGCACATTGTACAGTATAGAAGCGGTTAACTTATCTGGGAGACTCTCTTCACTCAATATGCTCTCGGGCGAGTGGAAGCTCATATCCGCAAGCTGTATGGAACCACCGCTAGTTTTGCCAGTATTCTTACGGGCCAATGCGGGGCCAGCTTGCATACCAGCGGCAACCAATGTCGCTGATGCGCTGCTATAAAGTTCACAGGGTGCCATTTGGCCGCCAAGGCCGTTGGTGCTGTTGGTATCTTGTGCCGACGCTTGCGCTTGCAGTCGTTGCTGACGACGTGAGCGTGTACAATAAAGGCACTGGCTACGTGCATGTTTGGCGCCAAATTGCCATTTGGACGGCCGTCGACTG